CTTTAGAAATGAGACATAATTTTTCATGATCTGCACAATCAAAGGTTTTGTGATAATCTATAAAGCATAGGCTGATTTCCTTTTGAAATTCTTTGGCGCACTCTATTAACCAATGTATGTTTGTAAGATGATCCCTTGTGATTCTTCCTTTTCTGAGTACTATAATTAATAGCACAAATTGGATAAGAATAAACAAAGACATTTGACAATTTTTACCCAACATGGATTATTGTTATGTGCAAGTCAAAGTAATGAATGATGCCATAGAAGATACTGAAAACTAGAGTCTTTCCCAAAACTGTGATATCAAAGATCAATTATTTCTTCTGTATTTGTGAACTTCTAGGTGTCATCATTGCTGACAAGGCAAAATATCATTTGGGGGGAGGAGGCAGGGAGCCTTCAATAATGTCCACAATTCACTGCTCTTTTGTCTTTCCTCTCTAGCCTTAAAAAAACATGTTAGTTGATGAATCCATCCCCTCTGCTGCCTGTAATGCTTGCTATAGCCTTATGGTTGAACCAGAGAACTGTCTGGATTTTCACTACCTTCTCTGGCATCATCAGTACTGTATGGATTAATTCTGAAGTACAGCTCATCATGACAGCCTCCCACCCTGTTATACTTCTGGGGAGAATCCATCCTTGCACATACAGCGGTTGGATATCTCTTGCTTTTCTATTATTTCTGCTATTTTGTATAATGGGAAAAGGAGACACTCTTCCCATTGAAATCCCCTATCATAAGATAAGCAAGCTGCGATGGGACATGATTGCAAGCCTATGTATTATTATGTATTTGTATATGTGCGTGCACACCTTCACGTCACCTGGTGACTTATGGTGACCCCATGAATTTCATAGGATTTTTTTAATGCAAGGAATACTCAGCGTTGGTTTTGCTAGTTTCATCCTTTGAAATGTAGCTTGCCACACCTGGTATTTGTTGACAGTCTTCCATCCATGTACTAACCAAGGCTGACCTTGTTTAGCTTCCTAGATCAGACAGTATCTGGTGCCTTTAGGGTATTTAGGCATGTACCAGGGATTAAGAACAAAGGGCAACTGAAAGATCCACAAGATTTTATTGAGTCTTGTGGCATCTCACAGACTAAGAAAAGCAATAAGCTTTCCTGAATTCCAGCCTACTTTCTTAAAGGCAGGTGGGCTGCAGTACTTGAAAGCTTATGCCCAATAAAACATGTTTTTCTTCATGGATTCATGAGACTCCTTGCTGTTTTGAATGCAATGTGTTAGCATGGTTACTTTCCTGGAAATTTTATGTGGAAGTAAGCCTTAGAGTTACCATAAGTTGGAAGTGACATGAAGGCACACAACAACAGCAAACAACAAGCTCAGGGGTAGGCAACCTTTCCCCTTTAAGGGCCGAGGGACTTCAGCTCCCAGAAGCCTCAGCCATGTTGGCCAATAGTCCCATGTTGGCCAATAGCTCCTGGGATTCTGGGAACTGAAGTCCCTCGGCCCTTAAAGGGGAAAGGTTGCCTACCCCTGAAAAAAAGCTCTATTGAACTCACCCCTGATTACAGTGGTTCTTCTGCATTTTAAAAACAATCTTTGCTGGGCTCTTTTAAACTCTGCCATCTTGCAGAACCTTCCCCCTGATTTTCCATGGCTTCAGCCAGAGAATTCTCTCCTGATGCCTTTGACCAAACTCTAACCACCACCATCACTAAGGGCCTTTGCAGACTGCCAGAAATAGTGCACATTAA